CCCCAAAACCCCAAAACCCCAAAACCCCACCTTGACAAAAATAGATGAATATATGTATCCTTAAAAAATATTCTAGAATATAAAATAAATCAATCTGAAATGATGAATCCTCTATTAAGATTCATTGAGCGCAAATGTTTAGGAGAATTTTTCCTCCATGAATATTATCCAATTCATTTAGAGCTTTGTCCCATTCTTTAAGATCCATTTCTTTAGTGGCCGAAACTCCAAAGACCTTGCCACCATTCTTGAAATCCTCTCTGACTACATCACATAGCTGGCTAAATTAGGCCTAAGTCAATTCCTAAAATAGAAGGATTTATTTAAAAATTCAAAAGTTACCTCCTTTAGATATCTTTCTAAGAAGAATCCTCTAATTTGCTTGCCTTCTAAAAAGAGTTAGGTCACAGGCAAGGTAAGATCTTTTTCACTCAAATTGCCTACAATAATCAATTAAGATTTTGGTGGCATCATCTTGAAGACTCTTCCAGTCAAGTCTCCACCTACACAAGAAATGTAGATATTTGGGCAAAATTCTTAATTTTTGCATAATTCTTTGAATCTTGAGTCAAAGTCTTGTTAATTTTGGTTTAAGACCCACTTTAAGTTATACTTCTCCTTTAGTTCTTGAGCAGCTTTGTCATCTCTAACAATACCACATATCTAAATATCAGAGTCTCTGCATAATTCAATCAAAGTTCTTCCTAGATGGCACGAGGCACCGTCAATAATGACATTTCTTTATTCTTGTTGGAGAATAATTCTTCTAAGGCAAAGGGCAGAGAGTGGGTTAATGAATGCATCAACTGCATTTTTTAATTCTGTGTTATCCTCTAAGATGATGCAGTCATTCAAGTTCTTAACGGCATATTCTCCCCATCCATCACACATGAAAGCTACTTTTTTGCCAACAATGTTTTCATCAAGCTCTGATCCAACTTATTCTATGGTGCCACAACCTTCTGAGCCTAAGCAGCAGTTCTCATTCTATTTATTCTTGAGAAGCATTTTATCATAATAATTGACTGAGGAGTAGAGAACCTTAATCAGTATTTAATTGTTCTGGAGCTGCTATGTCTAATCTGAGACAAGCTTGAAGTCTCCTCCGGTAAATTTGACGTGCTAAAACTTTCTAGTTTGTTGCTGCATGAGTTTAAGGTTATAATGTAAAAATTTATTATTAATTGATTGTCTTTAACTCTGACTGTATTTATATCTTGTGGGGTTTTGGGGTTTTGGGGTTTTGGGG